ATTCAGCCCCCCCCCAGTCCCAGGACCGGCTCCAACCCCTGGGGTCGCCCCCTCCCCCCAGGGGGGAATGTGGGGCCTGACCCCCGTCTCCTCTGCCCCCCGCAGATTTCTGTACGAGCGCCACGAGCAGTCGAAGCAGGATCTCAAGGGGCTGGAAGAGACTGTCGTAAGTATCGGGGAGCCCCCCGGAGTGGGGGGCGGGGCCGGGGGGGGGAACCTGTCCTGACCTCCGCTCTGTCTGTCTGTCTCTGCCCCAGGCCCGGGAACTCCAGACCCTCCACAACCTGCGCAAGCTTTTTGTTCAAGACGTCACGACTCGAGTCAAGAAAGTGAGTGGAGTCCAGCCTGGCTGAGCCCTGACCCCGGCCCCGTGCCCCTGGGCCTGCACCCCGAGCTGGTGCCAGCCCCCCGGCCCCAGTCCTGCCCTGCCTCTGTTCCCCAAGGACCCCCATCCACACTACAGCCCTGCCCCAACCTTCCTGGGCTTCCCCAGCCCTGTGCCCCGCTGAGCCGGTGCCAGCCCCCCCCATAGCGCTCCCCCCTGCCAGCTTCACCATGTGTCCATGCTTCACCCCCCTCCCTGTGCCCCCCAGAGCGCAGAGATGGAACCCGAGGACAGTGGGGGGGCCCATTCTCAGAAGCAGAAGATTTCCTTTCTTGAGAACAACCTGGAGCAGCTTACAAAGGTTCACAAACAGGTAGGTGGGGGCCGAGCGCCTGGGGTGGGGGGCAGCTGGAACAGGAGTGGGGGGCTGGAACGAAGCCAGCGTGGAGGGGTGGGGAGGGCTCAGCCGGAACTAGTTGGGGTGGGGGGCACTTGCTGTGAGCAGGGTGCCCGGGGGCACCGAGTGGGCTGGGGACATGCCCCCCGCCCTGGGGGTACACTATGCTGCTGTCTGGCACTGGGCGGGCCCATTGGGGGGCTGGAGGGAGGTCACAGGACCCCACCCCCCATTGGCATCGTCTGTTTTTATTTTCTGATCCATGTGTGTTGTGCACTGCTCACGAACCTCCA